GGTCATACCATAAAGATTCACTTGGCATTTGCCACGACCATTTTGGAGAAAATAAGGAACAAAAAGCAGTTTCTTTTAGGTTCAAGCAATAATATCATATTCTCAATGTTGCACACTCTTAATTGGTTTAATAATGAGTTTTAAGATAAACATTCTTTTTAGCTGTTTGTAAACAAAACAAGAGTCCCTCGAAAACACTGTCGCTCTAATGTGCGAATTTTGTTTTACATAATAAGATTATGTCTTCTTTATAAGTGCTGAGTGTTCAAACCATCTCTGATATTGGTTGATCAGAGATAACAAGATTTTCAGATTAGCTGTTGTGGTGAAAATATTGGATATTTAGAGTGGAAATCTTTGATATTAGATTGGCACCATTTTTTGGTTAAGATTCACATCCACGGCATTATAGTGGGGTTTTTTTTATTGAAAACCCCAAGTCATTCATCCGTTAAAGGGAAGAAGTGACGGCAAGATTTTTAGGACACTAGTGTGACAGTCATATGAGTGGCTGTGTGAATTGCACAATTTTCATTTATAACCAAATATATATTATAAGACGTTTACTTGTGAAAACCCAATGTAGATATAGCCATCCATTTATTGGAGTAGAGACAACAATATTTTCAAGATCGCCATCATGAGATCGTCACTTTGCATTATTTTCATTAAGGAACAACTACACACCATAAGAACTCTTCTGATGAAAACGCAATGTTATCATGGTAGTTGTATTGGATATTTTGTAAATTTACAAGATAATCTAAGACGTCTTCTGGTAAAACACAATGTATCACGATTAGACATTCCACTGCACAGTAGTAAAAGTAACAAGATTTTCAACATGGCCGCTATTGTGAAAATCATTGATATTAGATTCACACCATTCCGAAGAAGTGATAAGATTTTTTATGATGGTCACTGTTGCATTTCGGGATTTCTGATCAGCAGCATTTTCATTCAAGACCAACTAGGCATCATTCGAAGTCTTTCAGAAAAAATGCCATGTTCATACAACAATCCATTGAGGAGAAGTAGCAATACCAATATTTTCAAGATGGTCCCAGGTTGATACAGTATTAAAAGCATATATTGAGGAGCTTAGCAAGCAATGTGTACAATCCTTTATGCAAACTGCAGAATATCATTTATCTCCTTTCCTGTTGCTCTTGAGAGGAGGAAAGAATATGCAAAGCAGATAAGTTACAAGGATACAGTCGTGTCAAAGTTCGGTTATCCTGTTACGAGTCTATGCTCTTAAAAAGTAACAAAAAAGAGTGAAGACATCAAGCTTTGTAAAATTTAACAAATAATTTATTCCCCTAGAATTCAAAGTGAAAAATAGGAAAAAGGAACTTACGGTATTGCGAATTAAATCCCCCAAAAAATCCAAGAAATAAAGACACATGTCCTAGTAATAAAACGTCCTGAATAAAATTCTGGTCAAGTCCCAAAGAGATCCAAAATTGAAGGCGATGACGTGAATGTTATGGTCTGCGAAGCACTGATGTGTCAACAGTCTCTTGTTTAATTACAGAAATATTATTCCAGGCTTGAATTCAGTATAAATTCCAATGAATGTCTTTATCCAAGAATTTTGTCAGAGCACTTTAAAATTTCCAGAGAAAAGAATAACTTTAATTCAATAACATAAAGAAAATAAAATTCAACCAAATCTGGTCACAACATAATACAAATTTAAGTGCTAGATGTTAAAGTACAACTGGTAAAATCCTCACACCCGCAAGATAATATAGTTCTCTGCTTGACTTCAAGGTCACAATTGGCATTTTCTAAAAACAACCATGAAAAATAACCTTGTAAAACGATCTAATGAGCCTTGTTTATTTACAACATGGTAGCCTATATAATTCATTTGGGAATCTCAAAAACCCTTACCATGATCAACATATTTACTCCTTCTTTGCTTACCTGAAGAAAAATTCGGTCATACACAAAGAGAATAGTGAAGCTATTATTGGTTGTTTTCATAAATGAAAAATAAAATTTAAACGAAAAGTAAATCAGGTCTAGCAGAAATGAACTCAATTTTGGACAATGCCAGTTCCAGCAAACAATGTTAATTACAAAAACATGTAATGAAATAGAAAAATAAAATGAACAGACAAACAATTAAATTAAATATCCATAACAATACATTGTTTTCTTCTCTTTGTGCTACCAAGATTTGCAATTATCCTGTAATATTTTGATCCAATTCCTTTGCAACCTGATACAATTGGTTTGTTATGATCGATCGTGTATGAAACATCGTCCATTGTGGATCCAGTGAATTTGGGTTCAATTAAATCCTCTTTCCTTTTTTAAAATAGCATACTTCTCAATGAAAAACAGGAAGTTTAATATTTGAAGGAAAACAAATCATATTTTGATAAAATTGAACTGTTAATGAATAAAATCATTCATCTGCCCTTAATTATGAAACTTTATCGATAATCTCTGTTCAACCGATTAACTGATATCTTTCCGAAAATGTCCATCACATAAATCCCTGAAATGTACTGACCCTCTATTGGCCGAAAAGAATGTTTTCACCATAACTGCCGTGTTTATTTTCCAATACTCTTCAATGAAAATAAGATTTTTAAATTGGCTGATTTGGCGGTTATATTGTATGTTAGATTGACACCAATTTCATTAGTGACCAACAAGAGACCATAATGAGTATTCTGATGAAAATCCCGTGTTTATGTGACCATCCATTGAAGAGGACTAACGATAATAGTTTCAAGATGTCCGATATGGCGGCCATACTGGATATCAAATTGGCGCTATTTTCACTTATGGCCAACTTGATATAATATCCCATGTCGATGTGACTTTAAGGAGAAGTAGTAAAACAACATTTTCAAGATGGCTTCTGTGGAGGCTATTTTGGCCGTCAGATCGGTACGATCTTCATTTAGGGCCAAGTCGACATCATAAAAAGTCTTGTGGTCAAAACCTCATCTAACTCTGACCTGTTCAGGATTAGTGATAACAAGATTTTCAAGATGGCTACTAGGATGACCATATTAGATTCACGAGAATCATAGTTTTCATTGTAGACCAACTGCACCATGGGATGCATATGTGTGCAAAGTTTCGTGGCAATGCTCCAAGTATTTGACGAGGAATAACGAAAGAATTTTGCGCTTACGGATGGACGGACGGACGGAGAGACGACAGACTATAGCAACACTTGATTAGCACTATCTTTTCATTATATGTTTTGGTACAATATTTCGTATCATGCTGCCAAATACATATATAGCTTCTCAATAATTATTAATTCAACGTCAAAATGAAGCTGTTCACGGGGATGTGTAACAGATAATATCTAAGGTACTGCCAGACAGCAACAACATCGACTTTGAAAAGAAATTAAAGTTTACAAAATGCATGCCTGTCTTACAAGTCTATGCTCATAAAATTAGTAGCAGAAAAGAGTCAAATGCAACAAGATTTGTAAAATTCAACAAATAATTTGTTTCTCTACAATACAAAGTGAAAATCAAAAAGAATTTAAATCCCCAAATAATCCTAGAATTACAGACACAAGACCTAATGATACAAAGTTCTGAATAAACTCTAGTAGAAATCCAAATAAGGTCCACCACTGAAAAGTTGACGTGTTTGTGATGACCTGTATAATATGTGCCAACAGTCATTTGCTGAAACGCAGTAATATAATTCCAGGTCTGAATTCGCTATAAATAGTAGTGAATGTCTCTGTCCAAGAATATTATTTTTATGAGACTGTATTTTCAGAAAAAAATAATCACTAAATTAAATCGTTTCAATAAATAAACTCCAGCCTAATTGAACACTGCAAACAGAAATAATGCCAATTAATTCTGCTAGACCTTAAGCACGAGTGAATAATATTTCCAGTGACAAGATCAGTCCTCTACTTGACCTCAGGTCATATCTAACATTTTCAATACAAACAAAAACATTATCTAATGGAGAAAAAAAACTTTCGAAAAAGCTCTTAATGATTACAAAATAATGTTAGTTATTACTAAAAAAAATTCCATTGCCAAAATTATAATTTATAACCTGGACAAAGTCAGGTACACCAGGTAAACTGTAGTGGAATCCCCCCAAAAACTAGACACAGACCAAAAAAAATATTTACTTCTATTAATAATGATCATGATAATAAACTCATACATATAGAGAATATATTAGCTATATATTAGTTGTTTGCAGAATAATATTTTAAAACAATTCAATTATTTAGGTCGAGTAGAAAATAAACCTGATTTTTTTATAAAATTAAGTTCAACATATAATGTTGCATTATAATAGCATAACTAACAAAATGCATATTAAAGAAGACAAAGATATGTGATTTGCCAATAAACGGTACCCATCGCTTTGCCTGTATTTTTTGAGAAAAAAGATTGACTTATTATTTGATTCTCTCTCTCTCTCTCTCTCTCTCTCTCTCTCTCTCTCTCTCTCTCTCTCTCTCTCTCTCTCTCTCTCTCTCTCTCTCTCACACACACACACACACAGCCATTGCCTGTAATTATTGAGAAAAAATGACATATTTGATTCTCTCTCTCTCTCTCTCACACACACACATATACACACACAAAAGCCATATATTAGGTGGACTTTTATATTTTACTCTTGCGTATATTCTTTTTTTTTTGTCTTCTCTCCATCAGCAAAAGAAGCACTATACAAAACACGGTCCGCCCTGTACAGATGAAACGCCATTTATCAATATTCCACATGGTACCGCCCATATGGCGTCTGCCAGATACTGATCTCTCAAGGCCTAGCCGCTGGTTACCATAACCAAGAACATGCGAATCAACCGAGAAGAATGCAGTAGTCATGCAATAAACTTGCAAAATACTACCTGCTAGAACGTAAACTAAATCATAATCCTACCGGACATAAAAGAGAATTAAGCATATGCTTTAGTGTTGCTTCTTTTTCTTTGACAGAATTTGTTTAGCTAGAAACACATTTTTGAATAGAACTGCTCTAGTGGCCTAGTGATTAGAGCGTCCGCCTCAGATGCGGGAGATCATGGGTTCGACCCCCGGTTGAGTCATACCAAAAACTTACAAAAATGGTGCTAACATCTGCCTTGCTTGACCCTCAGCATTATGTGGTTAGTGTTAGAAAAGGTTGGCCTGGTGTCAGGATAATGTGACTGGGTGGGACATCATGTTACATGTCTGATGCATGATGCCCCAGTGCTAGACATCACTATAAACTGCCACATTGCATACACTGTAGCAATATGATTGAAAATTGATAAAGCTACGTTAAAAAATCATAATCACATTTTTGAACAACTTATTCTATAGAAACATTTAATTATTTTACTTTAAGTACAACATGGGCACATTAAATATTTTTTGTATCTGTTGAGACTGGTAAGTTAGCATAAGGAACTCCTCATTCGTTATTAGACTTTGTACGTTTAAGTTGAGGCTTCCTGTTCGGTACCCTAGTTAAGTAAACATGGTGTCCTTCAACTTCACAACAACGTTTCTCAGCTGCTGCTGATATTAGTTTCACATTTGCTAAATGGGACAATGTGTGTATATTTATTGCGAAATCTTGAACAGTACTCAAGTGTACGAAACCAGCTTCACGCAGACAACTTGTAAGTCTAATAAAGCATTCCACAAGCCTATACAAATGCTGAATTTGGGAACATCCATGAATATATATATATATATATATATATATATATATATATATATATATATATATATATATATATATATATATATATATATATGGACAATAAAAAAAATTGCACTTGATATCTCTCTCTCTCTCTCTCTCTCTCTCTCTCTCTCTCTCTCTCTCTCTCTCTCTCTCTCTCTCTCTCTCTCTCTCTGTTGGTTGATCTGTCAGAATATAGTGTAAAGGGGATTTTGAGAAATGGAGGATGCAAACAATGGTCAGTAGCAAAATTAATTACAACATAATAGTCAGTGGTTTACGTGTTTGCGGACCCTTTCTAACTTAAAATATGTCGCGGACCTCCCACATGCTAATAGTTGTATTTTAAGGCTTCGTTAATTGAGTAATCACACAATGACAAAAACTGTTATTAACAGAGTAACCGTTGTAAAAGAATTCATATTTGATTCATCACAACAGCAAATAAATACATTAAAAATAGTATATGTGCGAGACATTATTTAGCCAATCTATTCCCGGACCCCTTAGAATAACCCCGTGGGTCCGTGGTGCACAGGTTTGGAACCACTGACATTTAAATGTTTGAATTAACTCTTGTCTGTTCATCATAAAGTGTTATGTTCAGATTAGAATGACCCCTGCGTTTGACAATATGTAACGGCCTTGCATGATTTTGTGATGCTGCGTTTTTTGCATAAAATCGATCGACTCAAGAATCACAAACCGTCCTTTCAAGCATGCGATGGCGGACATGATATAGTTCGATCTCAAGTGCAATTTTTTTATTGTCCATCCCTATTTTTCTCTGTTATTTAATGCTGCCTGACCAGTGGCGTCACTAGAGGGTGTGGGTGGGGGGTTTGTGTGTGTGCGGACCGCACCGTTTGACTCCATCAGAAAGGGTGACACCAAAATGACTCTATAACATTAGTAGTGAAGGGGGATAAAATAGCGTCAATGGGAGTTATCATTAACATATGGCCTGGGATAGAATAGCGTCATGGTTTTTGGCGTCATGAACAACAGTCTGGGATAGAATAGCGTCAAGGTTTTTGGCGTCATGAACAACCAGCCTGGGATAGAATAGCGTCAAGATTTTTGGCGACAAATGGCACAGCCGTGCCTTTATAGCGACAATGGGAATTTTGTATTAGCACACCCTGGGACTGTATAGCGTCAAGAGAAATGTTCCCAGGTGACATGACATCACGGTACTGAACACTTGGTAACAGTGTATCAAAGAGCTGACCTAGTTGTCCTAAATACATGCAGCTAGCACTACGACTCTAGGGAGGGACCTATAAAATAGAGACATAGAGACCGACATATATTACTATAAAACCTAGAGTTATATATAAAGCATTATATAGACTTGAAATATGTTGATGGAGTTCATAAATTTGCATATTTATAATGATGCTATAAATAGTTTTAATCAAGGAAAAGACTAACACCGAAATGGATGCGACTAAATGTAACGCGAAAATGACGAAATTGTCCCAGAACTTAACCGAGACTAAACATGTCCCTGAACATTAATTTACATTGGTTTAGACTAAAATTAATACTAAAATTACGACATTGTCCAATACTAGAGTGAAAATTAAGAAAATCTGGAGCATTAATATTCAATTGACTGTGACTAAAAGTAACGCTAAACATACGAAATTGTTCCAGAATATGACAGAGACTGAACTTATCGCAGTAGATTAAGTTATATCAGGGTTCCTGCAGGTCATGGAATCCTGGAAAAAATTTTGGAATTTAAAAAATAAATTTCAAGGGCCTTGAAAAGTTATGGAATTTGTCAAAACCTTGAAAAGTTTTGGAAAAGTCATGGAATTTGTGACAATGGAGTTAAAGAAATTGATTACTTTAAATTTTATAGAGCACCGAGAACCGATTAAATAAAATGATAAAATTACAATCGATAAATGGTTTCAATTCATATAATAAGAGTAAGTTCTCCTAATGGAAGTATCACATGGTTTCAGGTGTAGTTCACTAAATAAAAGAAAGCAACTGGAAAGTAATGTGTTTTGTTAATATTGTAAATAGGAACACATACAAAGACTACTAAGAATTGTTTCCTTTTTTCTTTTCAATACAAATTACATTGATCATTGGATTATGACATGAATTACTACATAAAGTCAAAGTGTGCTAACCCATGTAAATTTAAAAAGTACATATTAAATATATTTGTTGTTAACTTATTTCTTATTTTAAATTGAAAGATGTTATTTTTTATGTTCATTTACTTGACAATGCAAGATAGCGCTGTCCTTGAGTGTTATGAAATGGCCCTGAAAAAGGTTTGGAAAAGTCATGGAATTTGTTTTTGTTAAGTCTGCAGGAACCCTGTTATATTTGCTTAGTCAAAAAGTAGAACTAAGATTACCAAAATCTCCCAAACCATAGGAGAGACTGAGAAAAACTCTGGAAGATTGTATTCAGATTGCCTTGACTTAAAATATTCCACTAAATTTCAGAAAAAAATAGCGGACTTGAATGGGAACTGGTAACTAGTCAGATGTATTGGTTGTTAGAAATACTTAAAGACGAAGTGTAGCACTAAATTCTGAAATTACACCTGGCTTTAGCGGAGACTGAAAATAATCCATAGATAATTTTTTAAAATGTTACCAAGACTTAAAGTAGTACTGAAATTATCTAAACTCGTACCGACCTTCGTGGAAACTGAAAAATTGTAAATAAAAATTAAACTAAGCGATAATATTACATCTATGGTAATTAGCATTATGGGACCCTACTTTTTTAAATAGAGCGTCAAATTTTATAGCGTTAATATTAGCATTAACTGACCCTACTTTGTACTATAGAGTCAAGATTTATAGCGTTAAATGGCACACCCTGGGACACTAACGGGAAGTTTGTATGGGAACAATAGGAATGGAACCGATAAGGTAACGTCTCAGTAATGGACACATGCAACCGAGAATAATGTTTTTGTGAGTTAAACATAAATTATACAACAACTAAAAAAGCTTTTCAGGCAAAAAAGAATAAGTCTTTTCGAGAAAGTGGAGTGACCCTCTAAAAGGTTTTTATCGCGAATGCATGCTATCCTCACCACCGAAACGAGTAGCATAAAACACAACATATACTATCGCATCAACGAAATGAGCAGCACAAAACACACCATATACCATCTCATCAACGATTCGAGCAGCATAAAACCCAAAATATACCATCTCATCAACGAAAGAGAAGCACAAAACCCAAAATCTACCATCTCATCAACGAAAGGGAAGCACAAAACACAAAATATACCATCTCATCAACGAAAGAAGAAGCATAAGACCCAACATCTACCATCTCATCAACGAAAGAGAAGCACAAAACACACCCTATACCATCTCATCAACGAAAGAGAAGCACAAAACACACCATATACCATCTCATCAACGAAAGAAGAAGCATAAAACCCTGAATATACCATCTCATCAACGAAAGAGAAGCATAAATCACACCCTATACCATCTCATCAACGAAAGAGTAGCATAAAACAAACAAAAATATACTATTCACACCAACGAAAGAGAAGCACAAAACACACCATATACCATCTCATCAACGAAAGAGAAGCACAAAACACACCATATACCATCTCATCAACGAAAGAAGAAGCACAAAACCCTGAATATACCATCTCATCAACGAAAGAGAAGCATAAATCGCACCCTATACCATCTCATCAACGAAAGAGTAGCATAAAACAAACAAAAATATACTATTCACACCAACGAAAGAGAAGCACAAAACACACCATATACCATCTCATCAACGAAAGAGAAGCACAAAACACACCATATACCATCTCATCAACGAAAGAAGAAGCATAAAACCCTGAATATACCATCTCATCAAAGAGTAGCATAAAACAAACAAAAATATACTATTCACACCAACGAAAGAGAAGCACAAAACACACCCTATACCATCTCATCAACGAAAAAAGAAGCACAAAATCCAAAATAGACCATCTCATCAACGAAAGAGAAGCACAAAATCCAAAATAGACCATCTCATCAACGAAAGAGAAGCACAAAAACACACCATATACTATCTCATCAACTAAAGAGAATTACAAAAACACACCCTATACCACCTCATCAACGAAATAGAAGCATAAAACCCAAAATATACCATCTCATCAACGAAATGAGCAGCACAAAACACAAAATCTACCATCTCATCAACGAAAGAGAAGAACAAAACACACCCTATACCATTTCATCAACGAACGCGCATGCAAACACACACACACACATCTTTATTGAAGTGAGTGTTTATAGTTACACTTCACTATATTCACACAAATTAGCAAATTGGCAAATGGAATAGTATTTCTTTTCTAGAGATTTGGTT